CAGAGAAAACGACGAAGGGTTGCGTGTCACCACTTTCGACTTTCTGCATTTTTGACCCGGCTGTGTCTGTTGAGATCGGAATTGAAGCGAAATTTCTGCATACGATAGGAACGGTAGTGAAGCTTCTGCATGACATTCTTCCATCGCGATAATTCCTGTAAGCCGTGCCCGTTGACTTCCTTTTTATGGGTCACCCAGAATCCCGACCGATTGGCAGGCGGACCATTTAAGTAGTCCTGTCTTCAGGAACATTCTACCTTTCTACCTTTCCTGGTTTGCCTCTGATTCAAACTTTTTTCTGTATCGTTTAATAGCCTCCTATACGGTTGTTATAAAAACCCCAAGGAATTTCATGATGCCCTTCCACCTCGCGCGTGTCAATGATCGCAAGTGGCATTGAATGAGCCTCCTTCATCTGTAAGATATTGGGAGTTCCACATCAGTAACCATGCATATTGCAAGGAAACCTTCTTATGCAACTAATTAATAACATCTTATTTGACATATTATTTCTACCATAAAAATTTCTGAATTTGGACGCCAATAATTTTGGGACACCCTGTATATATACGTATGTATATTCTGAATGTTTTAATCTCCTCAATTGTTCCGCATCCTTTTCGCGAGGCTCGAACGCCAACTCGACATGAGATTTCATCTGCGATCATAACAGCAGCGCATAGCACATTGCAACATAAAGCATTCATTTCAAATGGTGATCATATAGGGAATATGAAGCCTAAATTCTTGAGCAGACCAAAGTATGAGCTCTATTGAATCTGTATAGCTTTGAATTTTTAATAACAAGGAGACGGCTCTCTCTCCAGTCCGTTTATTACTATTTTCCCTTTTTCAGCCAAAAATCTTCCCCTAAAAAAATAGTTTTGAAGAAAAAGCTCATTTCTCAAGCTGCGTCTTCTCTTCGACACCACTCACGGAGTTGTTAAGCAGCCCCATCAGCGGTGTTGCACCGTTAGTTGGGGACATTAATTCTGTTTCACTGTCTAATTTATCAGCCTGAGTTATTCGAAATCTATACCATAGATGTCTGTCGTTAAGCTTCTCATAGCCGATGCAGTTGTAAGGTGCGAGTGTGACACGATGAGCTTGAAAAAAACTACCAGAAGAAGTACGTCCAGACGGGAGTTCAATTTCTGTCATCTGTCTATCTACCTTTTACTAATAATTTATTTTTGTATCACTTCGGCCAAATAAACGGAATGCACTGATTGATAGATAATGACTGAGTTCCATCTCATTTTAAATGTCTTGGTTAGCGATGGACAACCTTTCAGTTTTTCTGTCTCGCATCATTGCAATACCGCTTCACATTGACGTCGTGCTAATGCATCGAACTAAATAAATATAAGTTGTTGACGTTGTTCAGTGTACCCTTTGTTTTCTCACAAATCGTGCACACGAATGCGCAAAATATGGGAAAAGTCGGTCAATTTGTAATTCTGCTTTCCTTTCTTCGTCACTACGAATCAATAGCTGTCCTATTCCCTATCATAGATAAGCAGAATGACGGGTTGAAGATTATATGACAGATGACTATAGTTGGTATAGCACTATTTTAGCAGTTAACGTGATATGTAGAAAGTCTATAACACAGATTGCGATGTCGCGTTTGCCATCGACAGCCGGGCTGCTGAAATATATCTCACCGTCGAACAGCCCCGTCAAAGCCGAACTCTCCTCTTTTGTGCTAAAGTTGAAGTATCTCGCTGATGCCTATTGTTGTCCCTTCCCTTTTGATAAGCGATTGAGTAGCAGCACTATATCCAGTAGAACAAAAAAGACACTGGTAACAACACGCTAATCATTATGGTGGATCATCATTATCATTACGTCGAGGTGAAGTTTCAAAGCAGTGCAGATGAATGGGCCACCTCGGAGGAATTTTTTTGTGATTCTGAAGTCTCAACAGGCTGATCAAATATACCTTCACCGGTTCTGTGAAACTTTTTTATGTCGAGTTCTCGCTTCCGAAGAATAAGTGCGATGTCATCGTCTGTAGTGTCAAAAACAGAAAGAGGCACTTGCAGCAGTTGGTTGGCAGATGAATGTATATGTGAAAATTTTCAAGTTTGCTTGCACGGCTTTTGCCAGCCGGGAGTCCAAGTTTCCTCTTTCTTGACTGTCGAGCTTCTCGTACGAGCCGTCTACTAAAGTGTCCTTTGTCTCGCTAACAACTCCTTGAACTTGATTGTTCCAGGACCAGGTTGACTGATCTCTTCTATTTAAGTCCACTTCGAGTTCTCGAGTTTTCCCCAACGTATCTCTGCCACACTGTGGGATAGCTATTGAAATGCCCCTCCATGTCTGGTAAATCGATTCTTGGGGTTTCTTTCAGATTTTCTTTCTCAGCTTAGTGCAGCTTATCCCACCAATTCACCTATTCCCGCTATCATCAAGTCAAAAACCTTTATCCTTCTTTATTTCTGACTCTTGTACCTCGTAAACCTCTCTGAAACGCGCCGTTCACTTTCATTGTAGCCATTAAAATCATCCGCTATGGTGAGCTGTTCACTTTCGGTACACGTATATCAGTGTACGGTGTCCTCTTTTGTGTCCATCCTTACAGCCATGTTTCGATCGCTGATCCTGTTGACCTTGGAGACTATGTTCCTCGGGGACTGTGTAATTTTTATGCGATTATTGCTCCTCTCCAGCGTGTCTACTGAAAGCATGGGAATTGGATGTTCCACCGCTTCATCAGATTAACAACCGTCCATGACCGGTCCGCCTCTCTACTTGTGCATGTTCCATCCTAGCATGTCTTCTGCGCCACGCTGGCTATTCATCCCAACCATAGCCATTTTCCTGCATATCGAGTGAGCTAGATCTATCGACTCCGTTCCGCAAGCGCCTCAAGAGGGAACTACAAAAAGCCCTTCCAACGTATTCTTGACGATGGCAATTTTGGTCTCAGACACATGAGCTTAGATGCATTTGATGGTGAATCTTTTTTCAAGGTTTTCGATAATACCACGTTGTTCTATTGAACAAGAAGTAAAGCGTAACAAAATCACAAATAATTAAAATGACGTAAAAGATTGCACGTTTTGCCTTTTCATCAGTGAAACCACCATTTTATTTATCCTTTAAGCTCATCAATGATTTGGGGATCGTGGACAGAGGAATGTATAAAATCAATGTTCAATATAGGTCAACAAAGTACAAGAGTGATTATTGAGTTATACTACTGATACTGTTATATTATGTTATATAGCCTATAACTGCAATTTGTAACAATTTCGGTAATTCTATTGGGATTATCCCTGAGAGAGAAGTAGTAACAAATAAGCTTTTCCATATATGTGCATCTAACTGTATTGGTAATCTTGTGGTAAATGTTTCAATTCTGGAATACATTTGGCGGTTCTCAGTGTTTCTGTATGTATAAAGAGTCTTTATTGGTTTTGTAAGTATTAGTGTAACTATGAGAAAATATGACGCCATTAAAGCTAAAATCATCAGTTTTATCATGTAGCGTACGTAGTATTTATGGTCCTGTCATTCATCATAAGCGTTCTCATCCTGCCCATAAACTCCTACCAAATTGAACTCTATAGGTTTACGGAAAGAAAAGTTATGAATTTCCGCTCAAATACTTATTTCGCAGTTCCAGTAGACAGGGGCGAGGTTTGCGCAAAATGCCGCATGAACCTTACTTACTTACTTATACTTATACTTATACTTATATGGCTCGTCCTCACTCATGTGCGAGCACCAGCAAAAACCATTCGCTTCTGTCTTTCGCGATCGCCATCCACGGTAGAGTCAGGATTCGATGAAGATGGCCGCAGCTGTTTCACGCGATCGACAAGCACATCCCCCCCCCCCCCCCCCCCCCCCCNCCCCCCCCCCCCCCCCCCCATCTCGCAGCAGACCTACTCTTAGATCGTGAAGATCCTAACAGTCGAGTGGGAGCCAACTCCACTGTTCTTCTTGTCCATCTGTCATCATCTCTTCTCATTATATGACCAGCCCACAGAACTCATGTATTTCACCGGATCGTGGAATGGAGACTTTCTGCGCGTATTGGAGCTGAGGAGTCCGGCTCGATATCGAGTGAGCCGGTTAAGTCTTGAAAAAATCGCTCCAGCGTTCTGTGACTTGTGCTCGAAGTCGTTGACGTGGATGCACTGGTCACCCAAGTCTCCGACTCGTAACAGAGCGCAGGAAGCATTGTGGAATCGAACGGATTAGCGCGAGTTTCCGGGTCAATTGGATGGTTGTTGACCTATTCCAGAGGCTCGAAGGCTGCCAACGCTGCTTTCTGCCGTCTCACCAGTTCTTTCCCTTCCCAAAGCGTAAATTTGAGAGGAGCCGTCCGTCCACACGAATGCCCCTTTCGCCCTAGTTCGTCAGTCTGGCGACTTCATAACCTACTGCAGCGCCGCTGTGACCAGCTTCGGCGAAATAGTGTCGCCTTGTCTCACACCCTTCCCTATGGGAATGGGGAAAGGTCGTTGGAACAGCCTCACCGTCGCGCTGTAGCGACTGCTGCAGTCAGCTTGTGTTCTTATGTAGGGGGGAAGGATGGTCCACTTCTTGATCGACCAGTGCTTACAGGACCGCATTCGTTTCGACGCTGTCAAAAGCTTTTTCATCGTCGATAAAGGTAAGGACAAAAGGTATTCGGAATTCTCGGCACACTTCGAAGACCATTGCGACCGCTTGGATGTGGTCTAAGCAGCTGAATCCCATCCGGAGTTCGGCCTGCTCTACAGGTTGAGCTTCATCCAGCGTTCGCGATATGCGGATCAGAATGATCTTCGTGAATAGCTTGTAAGGCACACTTAACAAGCTTATTGGGCGGTAATTGCGAAGATCATCCCGGCCTCCCTTCTCGTGAAGAATGACCATCCGCGAGCTCCTCCAATGGTTGGGGATCTTCTCCTTCTGAAGGTAGGATGTCATATGTGTTGCGAGAAGCGCATGAAGTTCGTAGCCTCCTGCACGAAGTAGGTCGGCTGAGATCTTATCGGAGCCTGGAGTTGTGCTCCTTTTCGTGCTCGCAATCGCAACCCTCACCTCCGAAGGAAGGATCCGAGGTGCTTTTCCGCCAGTGGGGATTTTAGGTTTTCGCACGTGTGTAGTGGATCGGTAGAGTTTGGTGTAAAATCTCCGTGTAACTTCCTCCATCTCAAATCTCGATGTTGTGAGTGTTCCGTCCTCCTTCTTCAAGCACGAAAGTGGAGTACTGTGGTCCTGAAGATCCCGATGGCATTTTCTCAGACTAGTTCTGTTCAGTGCTGCCTCCAGTAGTCTCCTCTCCCTGTATAGCTGAAGGTCTCGCCGCACCGCTTGTCTGCAGCTAATATTCGCTTGCAGCCTTTCGAGATGTGTGGCGTTTTGGTCAAGCATCAAGCTTCTTCTTGTTCTGAGAAGATCCTTCGTCGCATCTGAAATGCGAGCGGAGGTATCCACTCGCGGAAGCTTGGCTTGTTCAGCACAAGTGAGGAGACCCCGAACCAGCGCGTCGTAGTCTTCCGTTCGATCATCCAGGACTTGCCAGTCATATCGGGACAGGACGTCATTCAGAACATCTCCGTCGTATACAACATGCTTCGAGCTCTTCGCGCGATGTTGAGAGATCTTTTCCAGCTTGTGACTGAATCTGATCTTAGCGCGAAGGAGTCGATGATCGGAACCACTGCAAAAAGATGGTACCACACCAACATCTAGTAAGCACCACTTTCTGTTTGTTAATATGTGGTCGAGTTCAGCATGAGTTGTACCATTTGGAGACTCCCATGTCCAACCGAGATGTTCCTTCTTCTGGAAGAAAGAATTTCCATGGAAGAGTCGAGCCGCGGACAGGAGTCCCGCTAGGCGGTTTCCGTTCTCGTTCCTGTCCCACATTCCAAGTTTTCCAATCCTGAACTACTCCTCTTGTGCTTCGCCTAGCCTAGCGTTGAAATCTCAAACAATGAAATTGTAGAAGGTCTTTTCGTTGTGGATGATTTCCTCAAGTTGGTCGTTAAACGCATCGAGCTCTACTTCGTCAGCTGCAGAGTGTGGAGAGTAGCGGTTGACGATAGAGATGGTCTTCATGTGCATATGTCGTAGGCGTAGGATGGCAAAGCGAGGGGACAGGATCTTCTGAGAATCGACGAGATGGACCACAGATGGGTGCACGACGAAACGAAAGCCGCCGACGTTCCGCGATGGGAGCTTTTAACACGAATGGTGAGGGTTCCATCGTTCATTTGTTGCACGTCGGTTCCGCTGCTCTTGGTTTCTTGCAGCGCAACCATATGATATTTAATGTGAGTAGCCGCATCTACGAGCTCATGGAGAGCGGCATTGGAAGGGACTGTTCTCGCGTTGTAGGTATAGAGTAATAAACAGTTTCTGTGTCGTGTGGAGGAAGTGCTGTCATAGTCCAAAATCCAAGGCGCCCTGCACAACCCGAGATTTCTTCGCCCCTCACCTGTCGCCATATGTCCGGCGCCGTAGAGGGCTGGGCCCAGTGGGCGGGGTGCTGAGGCTGTTTTATTGCTGTTTTATCAAGTTTGCCCCCTGGAGTCTCAACACTGCCTTGCCAGGGCCAGTGCTGAGTCTTCACCATCCTGGCTATGGCCATTCTGGATCAGAGGGAGCTGAGGCCTACTCTTAGTCGTTCAGACATGCAGACGTGCCGTTGAACTATTAGTTATATGTAGATATTTATATAAATGGTAACTGAAAAGTGGTCAAGGCTCCAAGGCAAAACTCCGTCAACCAGTGGAAATTTAGGCGAGAGTTTTTAGAGACCATACAAGCCGACATCTGATGGTAGTGACGAGAGCATTTGGCACGGCGACAGCACGCCTCCCCTTTGGTAGGCGCATATTTCCCCGAGCGCCTGGTCCTTGATCCAGAACACGATGACTTAGGCGTAACGTACCGGGGCTTGCTGTCCGCAACTTAACGCGTTAAAAATGAATTCAAGCGCGACTTCGGGCGGATGGACAAGGGGGACTCAAGCAAAGGGGCCGCCATCCCTTCACTTCAAGCACACCGACCTGGTCACAGATTCGAACGCGAAGCGGCAAGTTGGTCAAGATAGACCTCCGCATGACTGAAGAGCACCGGAGCTTTGCATTGGAGCTTGTGATAAAATATTAATAAACCAGAGAGAAACAGGAATATTATTGTTACCTAAACAAAACATTTAAAAATAGGACACGCCTACAAGCCTAAACGCCACCCTAACACGACGTTAAGGTGGTAGACCGTCGGGCGTGGCGGCATCAACCTGGACGTTCAAATTTGGTAGATGTAAAGGCAGCAGGATGGGAACACTTGGGTGGGTAGAAGGGCCGGAGTCCCCCACAGAGGGTTGGATTTGTGCAAAATGAATATTTGTGCGGAAATTCATGACTCTTCTTTTCCTTAACCTAGAGAGTTCAAATTTGGCAGGGTACAGGCAGCAGGTTGAGAACACTTTTGCGGGTGGCAGG